GTCTTTTTAAGATAGGGTCTTGCTCTGCAGTTCAGGCTGGCCTTGAACTTTGTAACCCAGGCTGGTGTCACACTTGCATCAATCCTCCTGCCTCAGCCTCCCAAGTGTTGGGATTACAAGTGTGTGTCACCAACCTGGCCCTAGTTTGAGTTTTTTTGAAACTAAATCCATACTGATTTCCACACTGTTTAGACTATTTTACATTCTCACCAACAGCATAGAAACATTTCTTTTTCCCCTCGCAGCCTCTCCAGCATTTGTTATTGGTCGATTTTTTGATGATAGTCATTCTTTCTGGGGTGAGATGGAATCTCAGTGTTGTTTTAATTTGCCTTTCTCTAAGGACCAGTGATGTTGAGCATTTCTTCATGAATTTATTGGCCATTTGTACTTCTTCTGTGAAGTGTGAAGTGTTATTTTGCTTGCCCAGTTTTTGCCTTGGTCTTCTATTTTGGGGGGGTTTGATTTTTTTTTTTTTTTAGTTCTTTATATATTCTAGATATTAGTTCTCTGCCTGAGGAATCACTAGCAAAAATTTGTTTCCATTCTGTAGGTTGTCCTTTCACTTGATTGTTTCTTTTGCTGTGCAAATTAATTTAAGTGCTCCTTTTGTTTATTCTCAGAACTATGTCCTGTGCAACTAGCACTCTTAACTACCTTGTCTTCCAGCAGGTTAAGGGTTTCTGGTTTAACATTTAGTTTGCTGATCCATTTGATTTTAGTTTAGTGCATAGTGAGCCATATGAGTGTAGATTCAGTCTTTTGCATGTGGATAGCTAGTTTTATGGACTGATTTTATAGGTAAATGTTATCCATGTACGTTAATAATTGAGAGCCATGCCATATTTCCTGTTTTCCATAATGAAGTTTCACGTATGATTTAGGTTGAAAAGAGGATTTTTCCATTAAAAAAAATGTTTAGAACCAGGCATGCTGGTGCCTACCTGTAATTCCAGCTACCCAGCATGCCGAGGGAGGATCACAAACTTGAGGCCAGCCTGGGCAGTTTAGTGAAAACCAGTGTTAAAATTAAAAGAAGTCTCAAAAGGAACAAGTTTGCCGGGTGTGGTGGTGCACGCCTGT